GATAGACTTGGAATGACATATATGGGAATCCAAATAGGTGGAAGCTAATGTGTGGATACCCTGCCATCTGGGAGTGAGTCAGAGGCAAGAATCATAAACTGGGTAACACTGGGTAACCTTGGTTGTGTTTACCCAAGGTCCCATAAATGGATCAGGTAACATTCCAGCAGTACGGATGCACACTGCACATATCTTTTTTGTAGTGCAAAAAACACTTAAAAACAATACAATAATTAAAATGAAGAACAATTTCAACAAATATAAAATTTTTAGTATTTCAATGGGAAGTGTGGGCCTACTTTTGGCTGATGAGATAGGATTGTTGTTGTGTTCTTTCAAGTCGTTTCAGACTTAGGTTGACCCTGAGCGAGGGCCGGGTAAATGACCTTGGAGGGCTGCATCCGGCCCCTGGGTCATAGTTTGAGGACCCCTGGTTTAAAAGATAGGCAGAAATCGACTCCACTTCTTTCCCTGCACATAGAAACATTTAAAAACTAGAATTTTTCTTTGGGATGGGAAGGGGTGGATTTGTCTGATTACTTTGTGATGTTTCAGTGTGGGTGTTCATGTGGTCAGTTTGCTAATGTTCCTTCTGTTTCCATTAATGATTTAAAGATGGTGTGGGTCCCACTGAAAGAGATGTTTTAAAAGTGTGTCTGTGTTCTTTAATGTTGGGGCTCTGGTGAAACGAGCTCATGGGAAGTAGTGTTTCAAAAAGGATACCTGTTTTCAAAAATGTGCTGGTATCCTTGAAAAGGTCGAGCTGGAAAGGGGAGGAAGTGATCCTGTGTGATGGGGGTGAGCAAATTTTCCGTCTTCTTTAAAGATGGACCCCCATGAGACACCACAGATGATTCCAACCCCCCCCCCCTCTTTGTGGGATGAAGTCCTTTGATTGTTATATATGTAGACTGGAGAGTTTGTGAGAAGTACTTATAACACAGCAGTAATTTTTCTTTCTTATTTGACTCTCTTCCCATCTCCACCACTATGCTTGACACCACAAATGCTTGACACGTGTATTCCCTCTTGCATTTGAGAAATTAATTTGTAGTCCACAAACGCTCTTGCTAAAATGAAACTGAGGGAGTTCTAGCATATGTGTTTCTAGTTTTGCTCTGAAGAAAGGAGTTTTGATTCTGAGGTTTTTTTTTTAAAGAATATGGATCCCTCGAAATCCTGCTTGGAGGAATTACGTGACCCTCTGTTGAAGATTATAAACAGCTCCCTTGAGCAAGGAGTTTTTCCAGAGGGTTTAAGAGGCGGTGGTCTCTCCCCTGCTGAAGAAACCAGACTTAGATTGTTCAGTTCCCTCCAGTTACCGCCCAGTTTCGAATCTCTCGTTCCTGGGCAAGGTGTTTAAGAGGGCAGCAGCGGAGCAGTTGCAGCAATTTTTAGACAACACAGCCGGCTTCCGTGTGGGGCACGGGACAGAGACTGTGCTGGTCTCCATCACAGATCACCTTCGATGCCAGCTTGACCAGGGTGGGTCAGCGCTGCTTGTGTTATTGGATCTCACAGCAGCATTTGACACAGTCGACCACAATCTTTTGACCCACCACCTTGCTGCTGTTGGAGTCAGGGGGACAGCTTTAAATTGGCTGTCCTCCTTTCTTCACAACCGTGGACAGCGAGTGGAGAGGGGAGGCCTGGTTTCTGAGAGGTCCCCTGTATCTTGTGGGGTTCCTTGGGGGGCCATTCTCTCCCCTCTGTTGTTTAACATCTATATGCGACCACTTGCTCAGCTGGTTCGAGGTTTTGGGCTGAGTGTTACCAGTACGCTGATGACACTCAGCTTGTGCTGAAGATGGAAGGCCGACCGGACTCTGTACCCGATTGTTTCCATCAGTGCCTCGAGGCCTTTACTGGATGGCTGCGTGCCAGCAGGTTGAGGGTGAATCCAGCAAAGACGGAGATCCTATGGCTGGGTCAACCGGGCAGTGGGGATATCCAGCTGCCTACCCTGGATGGCGAGGCACTATGCCCATCATCATTGGTAAAGAGTCTGGGAGTCCTTTTGGACCCTCTGCTGACGATGGAGGCCCAGGTCTCCGCCGTTAGCAGAACCAGCTTTTTTTCATCTGCGGCAGGCTAGACGGCTGGCCCCCTACCTGTCCAGGGACGACCTAGCTACGGTGATCCAGGCTACGGTCATCTCAAGACTGGACTACTGTAACGCCCTCTACATTGGCCTTCCTCTGTCGGTGATCCGGAAGCTCAAGTTGGTACAAAATGCAGCTGCTCGGCTTCTTGCGGGAATTCCGATGAGATGCCACATAACACCAATCTTACTACAGCTGCATTGGTTACCAATTGAGCACCGGATCACTTTCAAAGTGATGGTACTCACCTTTAAGGCCTTGCATGGTCTGGGCCGATGTACCTGAGGGATCGTCTCACCCCCTACCAACCCCAGAGATTCCTCCATTCTGAGGACCAAGATCTATTGGAAATTCCCAGTGTCAAGACCTTGCGTCTAACAGCAACCAGACGCAGAGCCTTTACAGCAGTGGCACCATCACTCTGGAATACTCTGCCACCTGAAGTCCGTGCCTTGTGGGACTTATCAGCTTTCCGCAGGGCATGTAAGTCATACCTGTTTCGACAGGCCTTTGATTTTTGATATTGCTGTTTTTAAATTGTTTAAAATTGTTTTTAAATTGTGTTAGATTTTAGCCATTCTTATAAGCCGCTCCAAGCCCAAGGGGAGTGGAGGCATATAAGTTCAAATAATAAATAAATAAATAAATAAATAAATAAATAAATAAATAAAAATAACAAAAAGGGTACAATAATTTCAGTCTTTAATACTATCTGTTTGGAAGACAATTGTTAAAAAATAGGTGTTATAGTTCAAAACCATCCTGAAAACACTTTGAAGTTAATAGTTCTTCTATCATTTTAACAGCCATTAAAAAGTCTTTTCTTTGTATCCACTCTGGTAATACAAAACACTGATTTTTAAATAAGAAAAACAAAACAAAACCAGCCAACCTAATTATTTTCCTCATGTTTCTCCTGTGTTTGGATAGTTAACGATGAGTACACACATATTTTGTAATTTAAGGGGAAAAAATCCCTTGATTTTCCAATAAAAGTATACAGTGCAGTAAAATGAATAATGTAGGTCATGAGAATGAAATAGTATTCAAATTTTCTTGTTTCTACACAAAATTCTCAGTAATGTGTCATAATCATAGCTAATGATTTGGGATGGCTCAAATGTTATTGTCTGCTGTACATGGCTAATTCCTTATTTATAATTGTCAAGGATCAGTAATCATCGCAAGCACTGTGGGAAAACAACACCTTTGATGGGGTGAATTGTCATGTACCTCAAAGGAAGAGATTTTCCATTCAAATGAATATATGTATGTCATGGATAAGCCACAATTTATTTGGAGGTGGAAGGCATTTACACCTCATCTTCTTATAAAGTTTACTCCTTCAGGTCTGTTTCACACTTCCATGCGAATCAAGAACTGGTGACTGAAAAGTAATAACCAACCTCTGGCTTGTCTTGAATGTGGTATGACCTTCAAGGCCTCACACATGCACACAGACACACATTCCTATCTCTGTCAGACAGTTTGGCATGTTTTTAAAGAGCTAAGCAAAACCCTGTTACACCAATTTGACAGAGATGACAGTGGGACAAAAGAAAATGCTCTGAACACCATAGTAAAAAATGCCTCTCATATTATCGCCAACTGTTTGGAAATGTCTGTGGCCTGACTAATCTTAGGATCCATAGAGGATTATAAGGGAATAGGCACAGTGATACTTCTATTGTAATATTGTTGCAATTACAGATGCACAAATAAGGTGTGTGCCCAATTTCAACCAATATTCTGAAGTAGCAGTTGAGCTGGCAGGTTTTGAGCTGGTCTCTGAATAGCCTGTGGAAATAATTTGATTTGCGCTAATTAACAAGTGGCTATAGCCCTCTTCACAAAGTTGTCCAAAGAGTTAGAAAAAAATGACTGCACATATTGCTTCACCTTTTAATAGTTCACTATATAAAGGCCAGCTGGTCAAGCTTTCTATAATCTGGAACCACTACTAGTTTAATAATAGGAAGACTAGTGAGAAAGAGAAGTAGGCACCATTGCTCCCTCCATGTCCAGTCAGCCTGAATCCTGTTTGACCCTTACCAGGAGTATTGTCCTTGTTACTGTAGCATGCAGCCAAAAACTCCGGAGGGCTCCTGGTCACTGCCAGGCACCTTTGCTGGCATCAACAAAGGTGTCTGTGCAACCAGGAAGAAGTATGAGGGATCGTGGAGTACAGGAAAAGGGGATGGTGATGCCCAGCCATGTGCAGTGTACCTATTCAAATTTTGGGATTGCAAACTTGCTGCATCAGGGACCCACTGAAACAGCACACTTAAGCAAAATTAAGGGATGTAAGGAGTTTGGGGGCATAAAATGCGACATGTGTATGTGTCCGGGACAGGGATGGTAATATATTGAACCTTTTCAAGGATTCTGTGTGGTCCCAGGACTTCACAGTAATCACTTCTGAGTTTCCTGTTTTACATAATGGTAGCTAATGACTTGGGATCTATGATGGAAATGTAGTGCATGCTCACCAAGAAAATAAAATTGTTTCAGAAGCTTGGAAATAATCACAGATTGGCACAGTTGTAGCTTGTATTCTTTGCCTTTTCCACCAGGACTGGTTGGGAAGACTATCAGCATTTCTCCAAGTGGCACACAGTATTGCTGTTTCTGCTCTGATAAAACAGTACATTCCCCAAACAGAAGAAAAGTCCCGAGGGAAAATGTACATCCCATGTGAAAAATGAGAAACTGAAAGGCATTTGTTGTGAGATACACAAGAGAGAGAGTTGTGATAAATGCTTCTCTGTTTCTAGTGGCATGAAGCCATATATGAGGGAGTAACATTCACTTTCTGGCAGAGAAACTTCAAGTACCATAATTAAATGCATGCTTTCCTCACTGAATATTTTCTAAAATAATGCAATGTTTTTTTTACAGCTAAGTAACTTGAAACAAGTGACATTTGTAGATATATCAGCAAACAAATTTGTCTCAATTCCAGTATGTGTGCTCCGGATGTCAAGTTTGCAATGGCTGGATTTGAGCAGCAATAACCTCAGTGATCTCCCACAAGACATAGACAGGTCATTGTCTTTATTGTCTTTTCAGTGGCATTTTTTTTTCGCAACAATAGCTCAATGTAATATCTACATTTAAAAGTAGGAATGTAAAATTACTTTGTTTTCTATATTGAGAAAAAAGTGGAATAAAAAACCAAACAGCAGAGGAGGAGGAGGAGGAGGAGGAGGAGGAGGAGGAAGCAAGTCTCTTAATGCCAGCCAGTTGAAATATTGGACAGGCTGTTTGCTAGTACATAACAAAGATACATCAGGTAGTATATATTGTGCATTTACCTATTCCAATCTGCTAATCTCTTTAGGCTAGAAGAATTACAAACTCTTCTCCTGCAGAAAAACAAGCTGACTTATCTTCCACATGCTTTACTCAACCTGTCAAAACTCAGTTTACTTGTTGTGAGTGGTGATAGTTTGACTCAGATGCCCACAGCTCTCTGTGACTCAAGCAGAGGTATAAAGTAAGTAAACATCTTTTAACTCCTCTCCCCTAAAAGCTTTCTAATTACCCTTTGTATGGGATCTACTGAAAGAAATAGAATTGATTCTTGCACACGTTTCACATACAATCAATGCTATGCATATATAATAGATATTTTTGAGGGTGGGAGGTGGAAAGGATAATAAATTACATTGAAAAGATCTCTTCCAAGTTGTTGACTGGATGTTAAAATAGCAAGTGTAGCTCAATATTTACAGTTGTTTGCCTTCAACTTCTGATGATTCTAGGGTGAAGCTATCATAGAGATTTCTTGGCAAGATTTAATCATATAAAATTTGCCACTGGCTACCTATTAGTTTGTCTAAGGTCCTCTGGTTAGTCACCATGACACTGAAGTGGAGATTCAAATCTTGATCTTCCAGAAATACAATACTACTCCACAGTGACATTTTTATACAAGGTTGATGCACAATGTGATGAAAAAACAGATATTTTGTGTATTTGCTGGTGGATTCTGGGCTGATAATGACTGATCTGGAAATTGACCTTGAGTTAATGTCAGTTATGACCCAGTGCATTGCAAATATAGGCAAGGAAAATTCCATGTGGACTAGAAGTGACAGACCTAGATTCCTGGGCACTTAAACAATATGTATCTGATCTTTCCAAGAACAAAACCACTTAGAACAAATTAAGCAGCATTAAACTGAACAGGCAAATCATATCTAGACTGAGTTTCAGCTTATCGACCCAAACAGTGCCTCCAACTCCTTACTCAGGCAGCCTCCCCATAACATTGTTTTTCAAAGTAATGTTCATTGACTGGGCAGGCAGTATATGAACTGTTTACATGCGCCATAGCAGATGGAAAATGAGCCTACAATGAACCATATGTACCCAGGGTTCTACATGTCTGCTGCCACAAAACCACTTCTGAATTAGCATTTATTGTTGCTAAAGTCCTTTGGGTTACATGCCTTTGAAGAGAGAAGCTAACTCATGCCCCCAGATAACCTGATTTAGCTCCATAACCAAATAGAAAGAACAAAAAATTTATGGGGCAGTAAATCACTTGTCACAAAGCAAGGAACAGTCTGCTCATGATAAGTATTGTATAACACCTTCATGCTAATATTTCATCTTCTTGCAGATTTATAAGCCTCAAGGATAACCCTCTTGAAACAACCTCATTTCAAGAGATTGAAGAAATAACAGAAAGTGACCGTGATCGTGAGCTGTTTGAAAAGGAATTTATGAAAGCCTACATTACAGACCTAAAAGAAAGAGGTGCAGACACATATATAAAGGGGATACAAACTAATTTCCTTTCCATTCTAATGTAGCAGAAACTAATTTCCAACTGATTTTCAGAACACATCAGGAAAACACTAGTCAATTATAGTACATGAGTTCATATGGGCATTTCATAAAGAATCCAGAGTTCAGCACAGAATAAGGATTTATGGAATTAGAGAACAATAAAATTTCTTAAAGTGTCTACATCTATACAAAGACAGATAGGGAAAGGAATATAAATGAGGAAAAAGAATGAGAATAAGACCTCTATTCCCTCCTCATTAAATTTTCTTTCGGTCCTCAAATTTGTAGCATCGGAGTAACTTAAATATCTGTTGAGCCTTTGGAAATACAGTTTGGTCACCCAAAGAAAAGGGGCATGCACATGTATCCCAAGGGAATGTGAATGCAGCAAATGCAAAAGCAATAATTTTGAAGAAATTTCAGGGCCCCAATCTCTGCTGTACGAACTGTAGGACATTGAATGGTAGATAAAATTATTGCATTTCACTTCTATTTTTTATATAGCAAAAAAAGATGCAAAAAGAAGAGGCAGAGTGTGAAGAAGTCAGTGTATAAATGAACATAATAAGGACAAGAGTAAGAATTGATTGCACGACCCATTATAGGCTCCAAAAATGTCATGCCTCTTTACACTACGAAGACAACAGGACTTTCAAGATATATTTTATTTTAAGATTCATGCTATAAAATAGTGCTTAGATATTGGTGAAATAATTCATAAAAAATTGGTTACAGACTTTGGTCATAAGGTGAAGAGTGTGTTAGAAAGATGGTCTCAACACTTATATAACCATTATCAGCAATCTCTTAGCATTCACTGATTTGAAAACTGCTAAAATATGTCATTTTTTTAAAAAAAACCTTTCTTTTCACAGAGACGGTTCCTTGCTATACAACAAAAGTATCACTTTCTGTCCAGATATAAGACTGGAATTCATACATTGCTGGAGATTCTAAGGAATTAATTTTGACAAAACAAACAGAAAAACATAATCACAGTGTGCAAAAAGCACTTGAAGAAGAAATGAAGAAAAGCTCTCTATCACTATGGCATGCATAATGCATAACGGTAGTTTCCAATAACCAAACTCTCATGTGGTGTATGCAATCTTCATGTGAACCATGGCTGCTTTTATCTTAACAAATGGTTTCTTGGATGAAAGAAGTAGAAGAGTTTAGACATGTGATTTGCTCCAATTTCTGTAGACCAAACAGTAGGGATTATTGAAATTCTTAATGGCCTTGTTATTGTGATATTGTAATAAAGATATGGTTGTTTATCTTCAGGATTAATGTAACAGTGGCATCCAGGGCAGTTTTTACACAAAAAGGTTGCATAAAAAAGACTGTACAAGTGGTTTACACAATGTCTTGCACAACCATTTTCAGAATAGCATAATGCAGGCACAATTTCATCAATAGATTTTTACTCTGCTAGTCCGACATGAATGTGGGATAAAGGCTCACTTTCTGTATGAGCTATTGGTGTACATGGCCAGGATTCTTTTAGAGACATAGGTACAGTAGACAATGACAAGTGTCTCATTTTTTGAACAGGATATCTGTGGGGCTACTGTTGGAAGGGGATGGAAGGAGGGAAGTGACTTGGTTCTGGGGATGGTGACCCTTATCCTTCGGTGATTTGAGAGAGAGAGAGCGAGAGAGAGATTCAGAGAAACCTCATCATCATAATATCTCTCAAACTGAGAGGTATTTGCAGTATCTACCCGGCTGACCCTGACTCGTGTGCTTCTACTTAATGACTGGAGCAACAATCCTCAGGTTGCTGCCTAGTGTGGGTGGGTCGATTGGCAGGCATGCCACTATGCTCTGTGCATGCCTCCTAGTATCTCAGCCTTGCTAGAACCCAGATATAATCAATCATATTGGACCCATATAATAAATGAGGTACAGATTCCCTTGAGGACTCTCCCACTTTGCTTTTACTACCTCTTTAGTGGTAGAGTCACCACGAGGACTCCCAGTCTGGAAGCAGTCTTAGCTAATAACACGTTTACTGTAACTGAATCCTAGAAAAATCCCTTACGGTACACTTGTTCACATTTGCTGATTTGTTGAATTTGTATCCCACCTTTCTCCCCAAATGGGTTTCAAGGCAGGTTATAATTCTTTTAAAAGATTCTACTAAAACATTAATTTATAGAACTTAAAAGGAATTGAATATCATTATTCTTAAAATTCTCTTAAAGACAATTAAAAAACACTTTAAAACATAGTTTCAACAAAACATTAAAACAACAGCACATTATTTACACAAGCACACACTACTGCTCCATAATTAAAACCCCCAAATCCTGCCTAAATAAAGTTCTGCAGGAGGGATAAAATGTATGAGCAATAAAACTTTTTATTTGCCTACATTCCTAACATGGAAAATGTATGAATGAACTTCACAATGCATCAACGTAAGTTATTTATTGAATGACAAAAAAAATACTGTGCAGAATAGAATAATTTTAGAAGTCAAACATATACGAAACAAATAGGCTAAATACAAATAAAATTTCAAAAATAAAAATGAATTTATGGCTACAACATTTGCTACAAAATAAAAAATATTTTAACAAAACCCCATTGTGTTTCTTTTATCAACACAAATAAAAGTGGTCTTTTATCAAGACAAATGAAAGTGCTTCGTTTAAAATATTGCTATAACTTCTGAAACCTGAAGTGTTTCCTGAGCTCTTTTCAGTTGCATTTCTCCAAACTGATTTAAATCTGGTTGCTGCTTCCTGCAGAAACCTGGGGTTTGTAGTTTAGGGATGTGCCTTTAATAGCCTCAGTAAACTACAAGCCCCAGAATTCTGCAGGAGGCAGAAACCGGATTTAAAGTGGATTCATTCTCAAGTGTGATGAAGTACAAAAGTCTGTTTTTCAGGAGAGCTCCCACCTCACAGTTGGATTTAGGATTGTTGACTTTTTAGTTGCCACTTTATCTCCCCTAGGAGCCAGAGCAGCAACCTAATGTTGCTCAGTTATGGGTGGGTTTACATTTCATTATAATTATTCCTCTTAAAATTAGGGCTCTTTTTCATATGCACACTTTAGGACAATACCTATCTCTTTGCTTTAAAAATAACTATCAGTTGCATTTTGTCATTCAAGTTGCTGTGAAATGCAAGTTTTGTTCAGTCAGCAATCTTTAAGCCAGTTTCTTTAGTTTGTTAGCAATCTTAGCTATTGTTCTTAAGAAAATTTTCAGCAGTACATTCTCTGCTAGCAGGCATCCTTCAGCTGAATCCCAAACCAGTCCAGTAGGTTCAAAAACCATTCAATTTTATCTTGGGGTACATAGACACACACACAAAATCCACTTGAGGTGGCTAACACACACACACACACACACACACACACACACACATTGTACATAAAAATAAAATCATCACAATGATTAAGACATTAAAAGACAATATTGCAAATATACATCTTTGCCTCCTTCTTACAAACAGAAACCATGAAGAGTGATCATAACATCTAGGGAAGTTTATTTCTCTACAGTATTCAGGAGCAAGACAGAAGAAAGCTGTGTTCTGCATCAAGAAGGTTTCCACAAGTGATAGTAGTCAGAGAGTCCCACATGAAGATAGTAGGGTATAGGTATGTGTTCCTAACAAGACAGGAAATCCCTTGGGAGCCATGGCATTGAGGTCTGCAAAACCAACTTGTTTAACCTAGAAAACAATTCCGAACCAGCCCAACTGAGCTTGTATTTTCTTCCTCATTAACAACATTGACGATCTTGGACCACATTCTGATGTTGCTTGGCCACACTTTTTGGCTGGTTGGAGGATATGCCATTCTTTTATTAATCTCCTAATAATCTGACAGATTTTGAATGGCATCCTCTATTTGTATATTTATTTTGAATTTTATCTTGGGGTACATAGACATGTTTTCTATCACAAGGAATTGGCTTCTGATACTCTGGGTATTTTTTAGTTAACAATAGCTATTTTGGTCACATCTGAGCAACATTAAAATGTATATTTTAAAGGATTGCAAGTGGAACAGTAACTGACTAGTTGGGAATTCAAAAAATGGTGAGAACTTCATTATTTCTAAAATGCCATTTCCCAGAATTTGCTTAGGAGAAAGTAACAATGGGAGCTCTATGCATAATTGTTTTGTTGAACACCACAGTGTTATTGAGCAAAACCAAAGCACTTGTTGATATACCATAGGAGACAATGAAGAATCGGTATAACTCCAGCAGTGAAAGATATTTGTTCTATGAAGCTATCATTTAAACAAAAATATGCAGATGCACATAGTTTTGCCAATAAAACCTTGTTGTTCCAAACAGTCAAAAGTAAAGATAGCAAAGACTTTGTTATCTTTAAGATAAAGATTTCATTGTGCATGCTTGTTCAAATGCATGGAGAGTTAGCAAAATCAATAACTCCAGGACTGGTATTTAAATGTTACCACCTTACTCATCAGTACTATGTGGGAAAGGATTTGCAAGTATGACATAGGGCCCATCAAGATAGGCCCAAAAGCATGGACCTGTCTTGGTTTTGCTGGAGGTGTCCAAACAACTCCTCCGGTAAAACTGAATTAATTCAGAACAAACCAGGGGTCCCTGGTGGAAGTGGGGACACAAATCTGCACCAAAGCAGGTTTTAAAAATCCACTTGGGAACATATTTTGGTGCTGGCTGGAAGCACTCATAGAGTGCATCTTCACTGTAGAATTAATGCAGTTTGACACAATTTTAATTACCATGGTGCAATGCTATGGAATCAAGGGAGTTGCAGGTTTTTTTTAAAGTTTTAGGCACTCTCTGTCAACGAGTACTTGTGCCTCAACAAACTACAAATAGTAGAATTCCATAACATTGAGCCTTGGCACTTAAAATGGTTTCAAACTGCATTTATTATTATACAGTGTAGATGCACCCATGGAGATTCAGTATAGTGTAGTGGTTTGAACACTGGAGACTAGGGTATGAATTCCTTGGTGACATTGTGGAAGTCATATTCTCTCAGATTCAGAAGTAAAGGAAAGTAAACTCTTTCTGAATAAATATTGCTTAAGAAGCATCACAATAGAGTGGCCCACAACAGCAAGAAATATGCAAAAGGATTCTGTAGCACTTTAGACACTAAAGTGAGAGAATGAAGTCAATAGCATAAACTTTTGCAGATTAAGTCTACTTCCTCAGATGCAAGTAGCAAATTGGGTTATTGCTCATAAAATAGCATTTTGAGTGATCAGTAATACAGTTAGTTGGTTACTCCTATATCGAGAGGGTGAGAAAATATAATTATATTTTCTTTCCTCTTGACCAGTGACATTTAAACACAATCTAGAACTTGGTATCTTTTAACTTTAGTAGGAAAAAAGAAGGAAAAGGCAAAGCATCGATTTATCATACGTGCTGACAGAATTTCATATGATGCGATTTGTTATAAATGGGCCTCTGGTACAGCTAGAACACATCAAGAGGGCAGGAAAATGTGAAAATAGTTTAAGCTTCAGGACTGAATGCTTATAGAAAGCTCTCAAAAGGAATTAGAGCAGGTAAGGGAATTGCTTTACTTTCATTAGGTGAAACATCATAGTTTGGATCGGCATCTGTTCCATAAGCTCCAGCTGTTTTTCTTTTACCTTTATTTCCTTAGACTTATTTAATTTATATCCACTTTCCCAACTTGCATGAGGACTAGACAGCTGCTCACAAACAAGAGTAAACAACACTAACTGAAACACTAAATTCTTTCAACATAATTCTTCAAGATGAGTGCTAAAACAGTAAAATAAAGGCAACAATAACAAACAAGCTTGTGCTAAATCAGCTTAATTGTATATTCCTATGCTAGACTTCTAAGGCTAAACCTTGGAATGTACTATTGCAAGTGTTGGAGTTTCTTATGAGTTGTTACTTTTTTAAGTACTGTGACTTACCACTTCTTATTGGAAGAGTAACATATTACATTAGTGTTAGCAAATTGCCTTTCAATTTCTTTAACATTATTTTTCTAAAAATACATCTGACAAATATCTGAGCCAAAGTTTTCACTAGGCAAAGAAGGGTAGTGCTGTTATGATTTGTTATACTACTTTTTAGGAGCAATGTCATTGCCCCAAAATGCAAAAGGTAATATTAGCTGACATTCAGGTAATCAGTTAATGATGTTGCAAGTTAGACTTCTTGTTGCCATTTTTGTGTGCCCATCAAGTCATTTCCACCTTATGGCGACTACAAGGTGAATCTATCACGAGGCTTTCTCGAACTGAGATTGTGTGACTTTCTCAAAATCATCCAGTGATTCAG